GTGAAGGGCCTGGGAACACTGATACCGTGTGTTTTAGGCACACAAGCAGGTGCATGCATGCAGTGCACACCTAGATGTCGTATAACATGTATTATAAATTCCAATTGCACGCAGTTAAGTAACTTCTTGAAGTTTCCATCATGTTCTTTGTTCTCAATCAGGGCCGCAATTTCAGTACCCTCTACCAGCTTGAGAAAAGCTGGATCGCGAAGTGCAATATCTTGAACATCCTGCAAGCCACGCTCCTCAGATTAGGCAAATAGAGATTTCAGTAAGCAGACGGATCAAAGGTATAGATTTGCGCAGGTTGTAGCTCTAAAATATGCCAAGTGTCCACTGTAGGCAGCTTGTTCACGATCTTCTCATCGCTATCCAAACTGTCCTGGTCAACCTTCTTTCGACCACGTGGCTTCCGGTCACCCTTCTCCTTGCCATTCTCATCAGCTGCCACCGCATCAAAGTCCAGCTTGCGAGCCACTGGTTTGCAGCTTTGGCCTTCTCCAGGGCCTGCTTGGTCCTCTTGGATGGAAGGCTGGAAGCATCAGCAGCTTCTGCCGTGCTAGGAGCCTGACGCTTCCTAGGGCTCCATTTCGCAGCTGATGCCCGCAGCTTTTTTGCCACCCTCTTCTCAACCACTGGCGAGGCTTCCCTGCTCGCGTCACCCTCACGACCACCCTCCACTTCACTTTCCTTCACTTTGCTTGCAGGCCGCTTCCTTGTCTCTGACGGCTTCTCCTCGTCGTGGCCACGCCCTTTTGCTTTCCCCTTTCCTCTTCCTTTGCCTTTGCCTCTGCCTCGGCCTCTGCCACGACCACGCTTGTTGGTTTTGGCATCGTCAGAGTCCTCCTCCTCTCGCAAAGCTCGGTCACCGTCCTCATGGTTCTCATCCGCTTCATCCATCTCTCGAGCAGCCGCTCTCATTTTGCGTTGTGCCTGGCAGGGCTTTAATTCCGAACGTGTGGATGAAATCTTGAATTTTACTGGCATGGACGGCATGGATGAAGTTTCGATTTCAATCAGATGGCAAAACAAGGGCTGGCCTCCAGAAGGTCACTGTGCGAGCATGGAATGTTTCTCGACCTCAGCAACTCCTGCATCAGCTGGGCACATTTGTCCACGATCTTCTGACTGTGTGGTGGTGCTGTCTCACGCAAAGGCCTCCGGTCCTGCAAAACATTAGGATCGAGCAAAAGGGTGAGTTGAAAGAGACCAGATCAGTCAGCACTTGACTTGAATGAGAACATCTTAAATATTTGAGTTCTGATCAGAAACCTGACTTCATAAAAGAGTGAAGATGTGAGTTATGATCAGAAATCTGACTTCATGACAGAGAGAAGACCTGAGTTAATCAGCCCCAGTCCTTAAACGTTCCTTTGGTACCGGCACCATCCTCCTCATCAGACTCTTCAACCTCCATGACCTCTTCAAGAGGTGGACTCTCTATCTTGGCACTGCCAGCACTGCCTCCAGTGGCAGTCGATGTGGTAGGATCTGATCCAGCTTCATCTGGACCAGGATCAACCAGCTCATCCCCATCTACTGGTTCCTCCTCCTCGTCGTCAACCGGGATTTGGCTGTCAGTCCAAGTAGGATCGTGCGGAGGTGGCTCAACCTTCAACTCAGGATCCTCCTCCCGGGCCTCCTCTTCAGCCTCCTCCACAGGCGGCTCCACAGCAGACACGCCAGCGGCCTCCCCACCAGCCTCCTCCACAGGCTCCACAGCAGACACGCCAGCGGCCTCCCCACCCTCAGCCTTTGGCAGGTCGCGCTTGTCGTCGGCATCATCACCTGCCCAGATAGCTCAACTAAGTACAGACTCTCCTTGCCATGCATGCCTGGCCTGCGGCCTCTGGAACCTCAGCATCAACCTCTGGAACCTCCTCTTCGTTGTCCAGGATCTCTTCATCACCACCTGCCCAGATAGTATATTAAGTACAGACTCCTTGCCACGCATACATGCCTGGCCTTGAGTGCCATGGGGTTGAGTCTCTTCGGGCTTCTTGTCCTCCGGGATGATGTCGCGGAAGTCCTGCCAGGAATCAGTTGCAGACCTATTCAGTTAAGTTGGTTTGATTCAATTCAGATGGCGACGCTCAAAGAGCCAGATTGCAAAAGAGCCAAATTAGAGTCTCCTGATTAGATGCTGATCGCCCCCTGCTAGCCACTTTCTTTCCATCGTCCGCGAGCATGTTTTCCATCTGCCAGCAGGGGGGTTACATATGATGATCCAGTAATAATGCCCTGCAGATGTCAATCAATTTGAACACACCCCACCTCCAGCTTCTTGCGAATTACTTCTTTGATCTGCGCCATCTTGCTCTTGGCAGACCTGATGGCAAAAACACTTGATTGAAAATGATTGAACAAATAAACCAACTTCAGGGCACACATGCAGACTCAAGAAAAAGATATGCGCAACTCACGAAAGGAGAGAGCCTGCCTGGCTGTTGGGTTTTTCTGGAACCTTTGAAGAGCATAGGTCATAAAAGACCTTTGGAGTCCTGCCTCTACAGACGCCCAAGCCTGGGCACAATCGCATGTACATGCGTGCTAGGTTTGCGAACTTGATTGTGCATGACCATCCATGTTGTTGCAATCAATCATAGTTTTTTCTTGCGCATGCTATAAGTATGCCAAGTGGCAACATGTGCAGCATGGTTCTCGAACTTGTTGAGGGAGAAATGCTCGCTAGCCCAACAAAGCGCTGCCTGAACAGACGGGGTGGGTCAACTCCCGTGTTGAAAATGTTAGGCGTAGCTGCCTAAAAGATCAAACCGGATCAAGCGTGCGTATATTTTTTTATGCTGTGCAAAATTGCCTTCATCTCACCCTCCGATGGAAGATTGTGGGCAAAGCTGGCCAGGAAGCTCATGCAAAACTCCGCGTTGTCTTCTTGCTCCAACTGGAGGACAGAAGCTGGGTTGAAAGGGTCCCAAAAACATATTTGCATGCATGAATCATGCTGCATGCATGCATGCAGCGGATTTTGTGCCTCAGATTCTTGTATGGTTTCCTTCTTCGCCAGGCGGATGAGGAATGTAAAGCTCGGTACCTTATCACATATGCAAATGGTAGAGCATGACATGCACGCTTGCTTACATGCCGGCGTGTAAAACAATGTTGTCAATTATAATCCAAATGAGGCACAGCAGGGTCACCTTCTCCAATTTTTTCCTTTGTCTCAGCAGCTTTCGACGATTCCTGATGAAGTCGACGTCCGAAAGCCACTCGGAGTAGAATTCCTGCCAGCCAACCCCCCCCCATCGTGGGAAAAAAATGTCACCTTGCAATCATGATGTGAGTTCACTCCCTCCCCCAATATGCGGGAGAAAAAACTTCCATTCATGAAGTCACTCCCACACTCGTTTGGTTGATCCGATTTACACATTCCGGCCTTCAGGAGACTCACGCGATCGTCGCTGCAAGCCATGTTGCGACCACGTGGAAAATAGACCCACACCGCTCTGCACTGGAGCCGAGGGCAGAAGGCAAGGGAACGTAGAGTAACTAGTCAAGTGGAGTCGAGTATGGAGAAGCAGGCTCTGGATGTTTTTTTTATGGGCATAAACTTTATTTTTAAGGGTATTGTTTTTGTCAAAAAAAC